ATTTTAAAGGGGGCCTTCACTGAAAAAAGGTTGAGAAACACTGCTTTAACCCCTTGACGCCAGCACCTCCCGGCCCTTTAAGGGTTTCAGAAGTCAGGAGGAGGGGCAAGGTTTTAGGGTCATATGATCGCCGTGATTCGCTGTCACATGATCTGGAAAGGTCCCGATCGAAAGAGGAGATCGGGACCATTCTGTGAGTACCGGACATGTGTGCTAGGAATGCGTAGGGAGCGCTCTCAGCACACGTTTTTTCTTGATTGCACGCAAATGTGCAGCCTCTCCGCGTCAAGGCCCAGATGACGGAAGATTGCACATTTGCGTGCGGCGGCGGCGCGAAGAGGTTAAACTACACAAGAGAACCATTGATCTTGTGTGGAAGCAGAGGCCTCTCTGCAGAGATCCAACATGCCCCCTATAAGGCAGAGCTATAGCTCGCTAATCAGAATGGAGCATTTTACAGGGGCGTTCATTGGGCTTTAAAGTATATATCGGGCTCCATGCACACGGGGCGCTTGAATAACGGTGGCGTTAGCTGTGTAAAGTCACGTTAGAAACGTGAGTTTTTAACCTTTTTTTTTAGCATTCTTGTATTATTGTTTAGTGGCATTTTTTAGTCAAACCAAAAAAATCCAAAATTTTGGGATGAAAAAAAAAAAAAAAACGTGCTGCGTTTTACCGCGTTTTTCCAGCTAAAAAAACTTCTCTAGAAACCTACTAGTTCTGCTCCTGACAAAAAACGTTGGTTAAGTCTGTGTGTGCATGGACATATAGGATAACATGCTGGGGAGTTTACTGGCTGTAGAAAAAAACGTCAAAAGCCAAAAACAGCCGTTGTAAAAATGTCCCGTGTGCATGAGGACTGAAATGAGGGTGAAATTAAACATAGCCCATAGGCACACAGGCACATTTCCCTATGCATTGGCCTGTAAAGAGAAAGTACCTAGCAGAAAGCTCCTAGCTCCTAATTTCCTGCTGTGGGCTGACAACACAGTGCTTTGTTATACTAAAATTACAAGGAATGTTGTCAGCCTTGCTCAACTCTGAAGTACAGAACACCTTCACCTCTCCTCATCGCCATAACATTAGGGGAGGTGTTCTGTAGCTCAGAGAGGAGCTAGGTGATCTGAGACTCCTTGAGATAGCACAGGCAGCTCTGGATTTCCGGAAGCATCAACAGGTATTTATTTGTGCTTATTGAACAGATATAACAAAATGCTTTCAATTGTAAACTTAAAAGACCAAAAGGAAACAAATAAAAGGTTCAGTTAGGATTTACATACACTTCAGGAAAAGATGAATGCAAAAAGAGCACGGGGACAATATCTACCTTCGAACCAAAGGCTTCAGTAAGGACATCCCATTATATTGGCATTTTGCAATAAGTTGCAGGAAAAGTACAAACGTATAGTGTTTCCTGAAAGTGTAAATGTTAACCCTCACTTAAACCCATTTCTGATTGGCCGTGATTTGCTACCACGTTGTTGTGCTATACTAATGTTGTGCTATGGAATGAAGGTTTGCTGTGTTAGGGTTTCCTTCTAGCACTGCTGTGTCAGGGGAGTTCCTTTTGATGTGAGCTCTTCACGGTGTCTGAAAATATTACTGTACGATGTTCATGGACTGAAATATCGTTGCGGGTTTTTTCTTCTGCTTTCAGAACCCTCAGAGTATAGAATACTGGCTTCCAGATTGTGGATAGAGAACATTTAAAAAGAATAAATTACAGGAGTTACATAAATAGCTAACTGAAACCAAAAGTTGATGGTAAGTTCTCTAGCAGTCCTGATTATGTTCCAATTGATGTATCCAATAACGGGACAACTTTTTGACAAATGCCTGTAGAACATGGTGGACAAGCCTTGGTTGACAGTGGAAAGCCATCTATGAACTTGGCAATTTTCACTAGCAGAGCAACAAATTCAAGTACATATTTCTAGCTGTAGACAAGCCATGTGAAGAAGATGTCATGACTCATCCCAAGGATGTCCTTTAGCTTTAAACATGTATCCTCAGCCAAGGATACATAAAGGAGGAGCAGCTAGACAAATTATCTTTGGGGAAGGGTGGGGACACGTGGATAAACTGTTCAATTTCCTCCCTGAGATGAGTTGACCAGAGGGGTCTGGTGGTGCCCATTGGCATAAGGCTGAAGCCAATCTGACCGAATTCAACCAGAGCTGTAGCCAGACCATGTGTAGGAGATGTCATGGTTCATCCCAAGGATGTCCTTTAGCGTTTTAAACATGTATCCTCAGCCAAGGGTACATAAAGGAGGAGCATATAGACAACTTTTCTATGGGGTAGGGTGGTGACAAGTGGATAGGCTGTTCAATTTCCTCCCTGAGATGAGTTGACAAGAGGGGTCTGGTGGTGCCCATTGACATGAGACTGAAGCCAATCTGACCAAATTCAACCAGATCCAATTATTGAAATGCCATGTCTATAGGTACCTGGAAGTGAACCTATTGTTCCCCCAAGAGCAGCATTGGGGTATCGCTTCCTATGTATTCTTGTATGTATCACCCAGCCTAAAAGGGCAATTAAATATGAGAAAACACACCTATGAGAGTGTGTTTTTAATCTCTGACTGCTTTTTATTGTCTTTGTCTAATCAGCTGTCCTAGAGCGTTCATCTTTGGTCAGAAACAATGTTAAAGAAAATGACAAACCTATAATGGAAATTATGTTTCTACCCACCTTAAAAATCTAAAAAGATAATATAAAAAAGGTAAATCAAAAGAATATAAAAGTATTTCTTAAAGTGCACTTATTAGTTTGCCTCAAACAATATGTTGAAAAGAAAGAGGTTAGGGAAGGTAGGCAATGCCCTCTGGTTTTTCCGTTATAAAGGTTTTATAGGTTCTAGAAATGTGGTATTATCACCATTCAATTTACAATTAAGTCCCACTCTCGTACATATTACCATGGCAGCTCCAAGAAGTTAGGTTGTAAGAGCGTTAGGCCCCTATCAGACAGGCGGACTCAGCATTGGCTCCGCTCACTGATCCCCTGCAGATCGGAACAGAGTGGGCAGATGACACATCCTTGTCCGCTCATTTTTTTCCAAAGTGAACACATACAAAGCCCACTTCGTTGTGTTGGTGGACGGGAGTACATGGACTCCACTGTCTATTTACACCCAACTACCTTCTGATCTGATCTGCCTAAATGAAAGTGAATGGATCCCCTTCCATTTTTTCTTTAATAGTGGGCTGGATCGCACCCAGAGGTAAGCAGGTGTAAACAAACATGTTTATTTTCACCCGTCTGTCCATAGGGGTGAATGGACCCTACCAATCTGGTTCACCTGAAAAACTGACAGGGGACCTTATGGGACTTGCCATGTGAAAGCAGCCTTGGGTGTCCTGGAATTGTTCTAAGAAAAAAAGTGTAAAAGACAACTCTTATACTTTTTTTTTTTTTTTTTCCGCTTACTCTCTTTAGCACCAACATCCTAGAACAGCCTTTCTCAGCCTCTTACCCCAGAGGAACCTTTGAAATAATTTTTAGGTCTCAGGGAACCCTTCCAAAAACCAAATCATTGGTGGTCAGTGGGAAAAATTACCCCCAAAAAAATTGGTGGCTAGTGGGAAGATTGACCTCCTTACGGTGGTGGGCAGAATGCCACCTTTACATGCAGCTAACAAGATCACTGGCATCATCTAGTAGGCTCTGCCAAGAGGCACTGACCTTTGATCTATGGAGGCACCATCAAATGGGAGGTCAATCAGCCATAACTCAAGGAACATCCAACGACCTCTGGAGGAACCCTAAGGTTCAACAGAAACCTGACTGAGAATGGCTGTTCTTGAATGTAATAACAATTATCTGGTATTATGTCTCTCCAATAGTCTAACCCAGTGGTCTTCAAACTGTGGCCGGAGGGCCATATGTGGCCGTTTGCTAGCCTTTATGTGGCCCTTGGAGCACTTCCTTCCAGTGATATGAGGCACTATTCCTCCCACTGGTACCAACAGTGGGGCATAATTCGTGCCACTGACACGAATGATGGTGAATTATTCCTGTCACTAATATCAATGATCGGGCACTATTCCTCCCACTGATATCAATAATGGGCCACTATGCCTCCAACTAATATCAATGATGGGGAACTATTCCTCCACTGACACAAACAATGGGGCACTATTTTTACCACTGATACCAATGATGGGCATTACTCCTCCTACTGACCACCAACCCTTCGGTTGTTTATTCTCACTGATGCTGGACCCGGGATATTTTCTACCCCACTGGCCAAAACTGCCCCTCCCTAAAATCTGAAGGACAGTAAACTGGGCCTTTGTTTGAAAAGTTTGGAGACCCCTGATCTAACCTAATAGCACTACCATGGTTTAAATAAATAAAATGGGTCTTAATCGTGACACTTCTAAAATACATAAAAACCTTTGTTGGACGAACTAAGTACTGTCTACCTCTCTAGCCTCCTTCATAGCAATTTGTTTACTATTAAATCACAAGTGCACTTTAAATATCATGCTGCCCCTTAACAGTTCAGTTCTAAATATATGCCCAGCTCATGGTGCATAGTAATGCCATTATTATATTCCTTTTGTTTTGTTTTTTTTAAGTCCTAACCACTATTGGAATGAGTTAAATCATTTCCACCTAAGAACTGCATTGGTTTCTCTTACTGAGAGCAGCAGCCCATGCACTGGCCTTGAGCACTAAATTAACAGCCTGACAAAAACTGTGATTTTCTTCCAGATTGATGAGCGCAGACGTGAATGAGCATTGAAAAACCAGCTCATTTAGCTAATGAAATTAGAGAAAGTAATGGCTTGTCAAGTGAGTGCTGAAGTGGCAGGTTTCACTCTCAGATCCATTGCTGATCCTCCCTGGTGAAGGCAGTGATTTAATAGTAACTTTCAAAGTCCTGCCTGACAGGAACCACGTTACAAGATATATACAGGACCCCTCATTTTCCTGGCGATTAGAAGGCCAAATGTCAAAGTCATTAACCTCCCACCAAGATCTATCCTCTACTGGTCTTCCCACATGGAATTCGGGATGTCTTTATAGGGATCCATGATAAGGCGAGCACAGCGTACGATCATCATGGCGAGGAACACACAAAGGAGCAGGAACAATGCAATAGCAAATCCTTTATCCACATCCACAAGGGGCAGTAAGGTGGGGTCATCCATCTTGAGGTTCTTTCTCTTTTCGTCATCTGTGTCAATGGGCAAAGACCTAAAAGAAACAGAAGATCATGAGAGACATTGAAAAGAAAATACAAACATCTAGAGCAATTTCCAAATGGCATTCCAGCGGGTGCATATAATGCCTTGCCTCCACCTGTAAGAGCTCTGGGAGAATGTTGTTAGATGACCCTTGTGTCTTTCCTTTCAGCAACAGGTTTGGATCGATGAGACAGGCAAAGCATAAACCACAAAAATCTTAATTAGTAAACAGGGGCGGACTGACAACTCATGGGGCCCCCGGGCAATAGGGGATCATGGGGCCCCTGTGCCCTTGCCCAAACTCAAAAAAGCCTATGAAAAAGGTACCAGGGGCATCTCATGGGGCCCCCTACTGACCTTCCAGGCAGGCAGGGGCGGACTGACCATTTGGAAACTCGGTCAGTAGGGGGCCCCATGAGATGCCCCTGGTACCTTTTTCATAGGCTTTTTTGAGTTTGGGCAAGGACACAGGGGCCCCATGATCCCCTATTGCCCGGGGGCCCCATGAGTTGTCAGTCCGCCCCTGCTTCCAGGTATTTCACAACTTTAGAGTAATGCCTGCATTGATCATAATTACTAATATAACAAAAATGTGAAACTGGGATACGTATTGATACATACATGAACATCCATGCAATGGTCCTACCTTTTGTTTGTAGGGATGCCAGTTTATTCACCCAGCCCTAATACATGTCAGGGTTGGACAGCTCAAAAGGTAGTGGGGTGCTGGATTTGTGGACAAAGTCATTACTTGAACCCAACTGTCCTATATTGGGCAGTAGATACATGCACGCTTTTGTTTCAAATTCATTCTTTCATTGAAGAATTTAGTTTCATTATGTTGAACCAATTCGTTTTCGAAATTTATTTTGTGTTTTCGGCACTCGTTTTGTGTATTCGTTAGTCTGGGTGGATTCGAAAAATTATGCTAGAAGATTGTTTTATATAAGTTCTCAGTTTCGCTATTTTGGGTGGTTTTGTTATTCACATATCAAAACTTTTTGGAAGGATTCTATATTTTAGATCTACCAAGAGAAATGGCATGAGCTGACTGGACTGGTGTAATGTGCATCCGAATGAACGAATGGAAGGAAATTTGGATCCATTCATTCTCTGAATCTGAATTATCGAGCGAATTAGAAAAATGTAATTAACTTCCTCTGGGCCCGAACTACCACTGAATCATGTGATGTCATCTGAATAAATCAAACGCATTTGTTAATTTTGTTATAACTTTTTTTTTATTCGTTGACATTCATTACTATCAGGGGCGGACTGACCATTTGGAAACTCGGGCACTGCCCGAGGTCAGTAGGGGGCCCCATGAGATGCCCCTGGTACCTTTTTCATAGGCTTTTTTGAGTTTTGGCAAGGACACAGGGGCCCCATGATCCCCTATTGTTCGGGGGCCCCATGAGTTGTCAGTCCGCCCCTGATTACTATGTTCATTCGGAGATTCGTATACATCCGAATCTCCAAAAATCTAATTTTCAGCCAAAAATTGATTAGTTACGGAACGAAATGCACATGTCTATTGGGCAGCTCACTACAAAGATGGGGAACATTCACCTGAGTTGAGATGTCCAAGTGTAATAGGTCAAGGAGGGCGCCAAATGAAAAATAATTAGGAGTCCAAAATCTTTATTGTTCAAATGGTTACAAAAAGCAGGGCAAAGGTCAGACAAAACCTTTTGAGGGACCATGCAACCCCCCTTCATCAGGGTTGGAGGCCCCCAAAATGTCCTTTGCCCCCGTAATAAAGAATATTCAGTTTTGTACAGTCATTACACTAACACTAAATGAAAGAGCTGGAAAAAAAATGTATATGAAATATTCATATTTTATATTATTAGAAAAAAATTCCATTACATTTACATTTCATGCAGCATGCATTAATATTTCTGACATTCGTGCAGGGGTGGACTGACAACTCATGGGGCCCCCGGGCAATAGGGGATCATGGGGCCCCTTTGTCCTTGCCCAAACTCAAAAAAGCCTATGAAAAAGGTACCAGGGGCATCTCATGGGGCCCCCTACTGACCCCGGGCCCTCGGGCAGTGCCCGGGTTTCTAAATGGTCAGTCTGCCCCTGCATTCGTGCAACTAAAGTCTTAAAAAACAGATCTCTATGCATTTCTTTAAATCTGAGCCACCAGTGAACTTATCATCTGCTTGGTGGGGAACGGGGATTGACTGCTATAGCACATGGACTAGACCAGATGATGAACAATGGTTATGCAAGCTTATAACAAGCAGTGATTACATCATAATCGTATGTAGCACAGCATGGGAGGTTAATTTGAAGTGTTATCAGTCCAAAATTTGGAATATACCACAAAGAACACTTGTTGAAACCCCCAGACAAAGCATTTATTTATGGTGACATTCAATGCTAATAAAGTCTTCAATTCTAAAAAATCCTCCCAACCGACAGCTGTCCTACGATGACTGACTGTCCCTCATGCTGATGAATGCCCAGATCTATTCTGGATGGGACAATATTTATCTTGTAAACAGTGACCATACATTTGAGTGATGTCCTGCCATGGTACATTGCTGAGGTCCATGCTATGTGTACACTTCACTTTCATTAGAGTGTCATTGTACGTAGAGGTATCTCACTAATGCGGTGTTGACCTCTGTCAGTCTGTCAATGTTTAGACGTATTCTCAGCATGGTCCCATCAAGACTCAAGCACATACCTCCTACATTTATGAGATGACTAAGAGGGACACCTTTCAGCACAGTATTTAAGCAAAGGATGCACCCCTGCTTCACCCCCAGTTATATGGAGAAGGAGTTAAAAATCAGGTCTTGGGGAACCCTTGCAAAAATGAGCTCATCAGGAATCAATGGGAGGAACACCACTTACATTGGTGGTCAGTAGGAAGAACTAAATTCTTACAGAGGTGGTCATAATGCTACAGGCAGCTAAATGTTCATCGGTGTCATACCACTGGTTCTCCCAAGTGCTGTTTGACCTGAAACCAAGGAGGCACCATCAGTTGGGAGGTCAATCAGCCACAGCAAGCGGAACCCCTATCAACCTCCGGAGAAACTCTAGGGTTCCATTGAACCGTAGTTGAGAATACCTGGTCTAACAAGTATATAATATATAATAGAATTCTATGGCAAAGTGTAGCTAACCCAGGAAAGTCGCAGATGCACTGCTCTGTACCCACGGTGCAGATAAACCGCAGTGTGAAAGCCGCCATATGGGGGGCTCAGAACAGTAAGGGTTCATTTACATTTGCAGCTTTGGGAGTGGTAAAATACCGTAGTTAAGATTTGTTTTTGCCACCCTAACCACACCCCCTTTAGCTGTAGTGGCCAGGGGTGTACATGTGTCGCAGCCACAGCAAGAGTTATATGCCCTGGTGGGTGTAGCGCCTGCCAAGTATGACCCATTCAAGTGAATGAACCCGCTCTGCAGGTGCCCTACAACCTTGTGCAGTACAGGAAAGTTAAAGCAGGCAGTGTTGTATTGCTTTCTCACCACCTGCTTTAACCTCTTGGACCCCACAGAAGTATGCAGTTGCAGGGCGCTTGCAGAGTGGCCCCATTTACTTGAATGGGTCATGGCTGGCAGGAGGTAGCACCGACCAAAAGCAACAGGGGGGGTTTTAGTCCAGCTGCGGCATGTGTATATCTTTGGCTGCTGCCTCAGCAGCTAAAAAGAGTAGGGATTGAGGGCAGAAAAACCATGATTAAACTGCAGGGTTTTTACCAACCCCCCTCCCCCCCAACTTTACATGTGAACGAGCCATAAGGGGGCCACTGCTGAATGCAACTAAGGGCTGCACCTCTGGAAAGCGATCCGAGTGTGTATGACAAGTTGTGAGGAGGCGATACGTTGCCTCCTCACCTGATTTAAACCCATGATTGCTATACAATGCATGCGATTACGACATGGTGGCAGGGGCGGACTGATCATTTGGAAACTCGGGCACTGCCCGAGGGCCTGGGGTCAGTAGGGGGCCCCAATGAGATGCCCGTGGTACCTTTTTCATAGGCTTTTTTGAGTTTGGGCAAGGACACACGGGCCCCATGATCCCCTATTGCCTGGGGGCCCCATGAGTTGTCAGTCCGCCCCGATTACTATGTTCATTGGAAGATTCGTATACATCCGAATCTCCAAAAATCACATTTTGATTAGTTACGGAACAAAATGCACATGTCTATTGGGCAGCTCACTACAAAGATGGGGAACATTCACCTGAGTTGAGATGTCCAAGTGTAATAGGTCAAGGAGGGCGCCAAATGAAAAATCCTTAGGAGTCCAAAATCTTTATTGTTCAACTGGTTACAAAAAGCAGGGCAAAGGTCAGACAAAACCTTTTGAGGGACCATGCCCCATGATCCCCTATTGCCCGGGGGCCCCATGAGTTGTCAGTCCACCCCTGCATGGTGGTATGGCAATTTAAATCAGCTGTGAGGAGGCGACACTGGACACTACTGTCCCCAGTGATCTTTGACTTCTCTCATGTTGTTCAGGCAAATTTCCACCTCATTAAGTCTGCATATCCCTGGTCTTTATTGTATTGATACATTTAGGGACGAATATTTTATACATGAGGGATCGCTGTGAAACTTGGTCATCACTGTAGGAACTGGCTCTACTACAGTGATCACCACAATCTTCCAGGTCCTGTGTTGAGCTGCTTCCCCTCAAAAGGTCACTTGCTCAGCATTGCCACCATTTACAGAATGTTGTGTATTGTTTTCAAAGAATACAAGGCATTCCCTGATTGGAATCAGGGAAGAGTGCACCTGATAGAGAGGAGTGGGGGACAAAGTCCCGATCTCCACAAGCGGTTAGCACATATCAGGGCATCCTTTAAATAGGCAGCTTGGCACCATTCCCCTGATTGGGCATGCGCAAATGCACATGGATGTGTGCACTGATTGCGCCGTTTCTGTGCATGCTAGTTACTGGCCCGAGTTTGTCTGTATGCTGGCACATGT